CCTTTAACAGGCTTTCTACTAAATTACTTCTAGTCAAACTGGGGCCTTCAGTGAACTGACATGTGTATATTAATATTTGTACCGCATTTTTCCTCGGTAGTCACTGACTACACCCAACAGGGTTAAACTCCACTGGTCACGTATACTCATCAGGATTGCGAAAATTTCCTCACGAAGATAGTCACTCACCATGAGAAACCTGGAAGCCTTATAAGCCAGTACTATCAGCTGGAGATTTCATCACCCCATCCCTAAGTCTCAGCAAATAGGACGACATGACGCAGCGATTAGAAGCTCTGGGTTGACTGACTATGTGTGCAGTGCCACTAGATAGACTAAAGAGAAAAAGTCCTCAAACTTGGACTGTATTTCAACAAATCATCAGCTCCTGGTCCAAACACCGACAGCAAGTAATGACAATGACACACTCTTCTTTTGCATGCGCAAATACGAAACACTCAGCAGGACGAAAACGAGCCCTTTATTCGTCAAACTAAGTCGAATTACAAGCGCATGATAAAGAACTTCCTACATCCTTGATGGTCACAGAAATGCTAATCAAGCTTGCCAAGAAACGCCAACCAGAAAAAATAATCCAAACCATTTAAACTCTGTCCTAGGAGTTGGAAGAAGAATTATGAGGTCGCGTGACGTGACCCGAGTTCCCACTTCTGACAACCAGAGCCACCATTCTTTTAGGTACATGGAACGTTCGTACATTGTGGGAAACAGAAAACCTATTTCTAGTTGCGGCAGAAATGAAAAGATAAAACCTCGAGGTGCTCGAGATCAGTGAAACGTATTCGACACAGGTAGGACAACTGACAGTAGCTTCAGGGAAACTGCTGTTTTACTCTGATCATGAAGAGTAAAATGCTTCACGTACACAAGGAGTTGCATTCATGCAGTTTAAACATGCACAGAAAACACCGATAGGATTGGAATTCCATGGAACAAGGATCATTAAAGCATCCTTCCAAACAAAGAAAGAAGACATTACAATGAACGTCATCCAATGCCAGGTGTAGAACCTATTTTGAAGATTTTGTTTTTGGGAAATTTCCCCATGAATATATATTTGTGCTATGATATGACTGACTCTTCTGCTGATATTTTGCTACTCTATTTGATTCCGTTTTCAGATTTCGTCATTGTATATTGTTATTATTTCTATATCTTGTGCTTATATCGAAGGTTTGATGTTTCCTTCTGAACTATATATATGTTGTTTAAGTTTGATACTTAAAATCGTTACAGCCATATTTGGATTTAATACTCTAGCAGTAACGGACTGGAAGCACTTATTCTTCCAGCAATGGAACCTTTTGTGGTAATTGGAAACTCGAAGGTTTAATATTGTCTAGGTAATTGTCTGTATTTCCCTTTTTGATTAAACATAGAAACGTTCTCTCCCAGAATTATCGTTTTTGGACTTGGATTCGGTGAGATGCGTATGAGTCTACACTTTATGAGTTTGAGCGGACTGCAAAAGTAATATAATAACTTAACCTTAGACACCTATCAATTACTAGATTGACGACGTTAAAGATCAATTCTACGAAAAGCTGCAGTCAATCGTCCATAGATGCTCATCAACGCATTTGACCATTCTGGTAGGAGACCCTAATGTAAAGGTTGGAATGGACAACACTGGATATGAAGACATCATGGGACGACATGGACCAGGAGAAAGGAACGAAAACGGTGGGAAACTTGCAAACATATATGCCTTCAACAAACTGGTCATAGGCGTCACCATCTTTCCACACAAACGCATACACAAAGACACATGGATTTCACCGGACCACATTGCTCAGAACTAAACTCACCATATCTGTATCAACAGAACGTTCAGTAGTACTATGGAGGATGTGAGAACCAAGAAGGGAGCTGACATAGCCTCAAATCATCACTTGCTGGTCGCTAAAATAAAATTGAAACTCAAGAAACACTGGATAACTGGGCAGACAACGTTACAGAAGTTTATTACGGCATTTCTTCGGGATACCACAAAACTCAACAAATTCAAGATATCGCTCACCAACAGATTCTAGGCCTTATATGATATACTCAATGGAGAGGAAACAACATTGGAGAACCATCAGAAAGGATCAAGGATCAAGTCACGAAGCAACTGCGAAAATATTTCATATCCTCTTCAAGAAGATTTGGGATGAGGAACAATTACCATCACATAAGAAAGAAGGATACCTGATCAAAATACCAAAGAAAGGCGATCCCAGCAAGTGTGAGAACTACACAGGCATCACTCTTCTCTCAATACCAGGCAAAGTCTTGAACAGGGTATTGTTAAGCAGAATGAAGGACTTCGTAGACGCCTAACTTCGCGATCAACAGGCTGTATTTCGTAAGGATCGTTCGTGTATTGACCAAATTGCAACATTACGGATGATTGTGGAGCAATCAGTAGGATGTAACTCACCACTTCCCATCAAGTTCATTGACTACGATAAAGCATTCGATAGCTTGGACAGGACAATACTATGGAGGATTCTTCGATACTACGGTGTGCTTGAGAAGATAGTTAACATCACACGGAATTCTCATGATCGATTTAACTGCAAAATCGTACACGAAGAACACCTAACAGACTCTATCGAGGTGAAGACCGGTGTCAGGCAAAGTAACTTACTGTCAACATTTCTCTTCCGTCTGGTGATCGTCTGGGTTATGAAAACGTAGACATCTGGAGGAAAGCACGGTATTCAGTGGACAGCTAGGACTCAGCTGGACGATCTGGGCTTCGCAGATGATCTGACCTTTCTATCGCACACGCAGCAACAAATGCAAGAGAAGACGACCAGTGTAGCAGCAGCTTCTGCAGCAGGAGGTCTCAACATATATAAAGGAAAAAGCAAAGTTCTCCGATGGAACACAACATGCACCAACCAAATCACTCTTGATGGAGATGCTTCGGAGGACGTTAACACCTTTACATATCTTAGGAGCATCATCGACGAGAAAGGTGGATCCGATGCAGATGTGAGGGCACGGATTGGCAAAGCGAGGGCTGCATTTCTACAGTTGAAAAAGTATCTGCAACTCCAAACAACTGTCAACCAAAACCAAAATCAGGTTTTTCAAAACAAATGTCAAGACACTTCTACTGTATGGAACGGAAATATGGAGAACTACGAAAGGCATCATCCGGAAGATACAAGTAATCATTAACAGTTGTCTACGCAAAATACTTCGGATAAGTCGGTCAGACACGATCAGCAACAGCGTTCTGTGTGAGAGAACAAACCAGATTCCATGGGAGAAGGAAATCAGGAAGAAGCGGTGGAAGTGGATAAGACACACACTGCGAAAAGAAACTTACTGCGTCACAAGACAAGCCCTCACCAGAGGGTCCCAACATAGAGATGGCTGAGATGTTCAACACAACGTCTTTGACCAGTTGGACCAGGTATCCATATGTTCACAGTACAAGGCAAACCAAGTGCCAGCTGACTTCTGATGGTAATATCCGTATCACTCATGACTAAGCACTAAAGAGACTAAAATCCTTACACCCAGAAAAGTCACAATGATGTGACAGTATTCGCGACGTAGTCTTGAAACACTGTGCAGAAGCCCTCAGTACATCGAAATGTGACCTGTTCAGGCATTCACTGGAGTAACGCTAAATCCTAGCTGAATCAAAACTAGCTTCTTTTTCGCCAATCTTCAAAAGAGGAGATAGAAACGATCCAGTCTGTTAAAGACCATTCACAGTTCTACCAGGGCTATCGAAGGTAATAGAAGGGCTGCTAAAAGACCAAATTGGGGAATAATTGGATAAGAACAGAATCCTCCATGAAGCTGAAGACGGTTGTCGCGAAGGTAGGTCGAGTGCATCTAATCTTCTCCTAGCATTGGACAGTTAGACATCCCACTCGGACCGAGAAATACCAGCGCACATAATATTTCTCGACTGCACAACAGCCTTCCATATAGTACCTCACGACTAATTGCGAAGATTGAGGAAATGGGCTTCACTGACTCACTCGTATCTTGTCTCAGAAACTACATTGAGAATAGAAAGTTTGAAACCAAGGTAAATAGAGCGCACACCTTCAAGGGAAATCCTCTCTCTTATGTCCCTTCTGAGCGCGATCTCGGTTTATTAACTACGGAAAGCCTCCACAAGAGCCCGAACTACAAAACGGACGCAGCCAGGGCGAATGCGACTCTTCACTTTATGCGAAGACACAATGGTTCCATAACCCTACAATAATTCTTAACGTTATCTGAGACATGCGCGCCCACACCTGCCCCCCTTTGCTTAAAAGAGACATAAATCCCTTGGATCGAGTACAGAGACGAGTAGCGAATAGGTGATAAGTTTGAAGAATAAACTTCACGAAGATAGACTCCAGCACTGGGGATAATTCTCACTGAGTTACAGAAGGAGATGTGATCTGATTATGGCGTACAACATATTAGACACACCGAAGCATCCCAACGTGAGCATCTTACCGATAAATCATCACCACTCCCCTCCAGGCAGTCCTCGAGAAATCTTAAGACGTGCTAGTTGTTATCTTTGCCATCTCCTCAGATCACTCGATTGATCTACCACGCCTATTGTACTTGTTTCCTTTTTCTCGCTCACACTTCAGTCCTCTCTCACAATGTTCACTACCAATTAATAAACTAATCAGCTACATATTACTTAGTTCTGTAATTTTATTCATATTAGCATTAAAATTTTTTCCCTATTCATCTTAATATTCTCCACATTACAACACACTGGTCTCCGGTCACGTAATGTGATGGCTGATGATATTCAGAAACCCTACTGTCCTGAAACAAACGTTTTCATTCAAATCCCGAAACATACAAACTCACAACCAACTTCTAACTGACTAGAATTCCATTAATTGGATACTACCAAACACCTGAAACCACATTGAAAGAACAAGACTCGAACACAAGGAAATCAGTTGGTTAATACTAACTCGTGAAAAAAGATATTGGAGATAATTGATATTCAGCTGGCTAAAGCGCATCTATTAAATTTCAAGGTGATAGTACTCTTCATGGAGAGTAGTGCAGAAACTCAGGGTCGTGTGCGCAAGAAAAGCCTTAGTGGTGAGAAGTACATGGTTGTCTGGGACACATTTAAAGTGAGTATCTGTAAAGGTGTCTGATTATCGAGTAAGGTGCATTTTTTGAAAGGTTCATGACATAAGAAGTACACTCGGTAGCCGAATACTTAGGTTCTGTAGGTTTTGTCTTCAGAGAAAAATATCATTGACACCGTAGTTCAAATTTTAGTGTACCATTCGACAATTATCATCTTCTGGCAATCCATGTTAGAGCTTTGCAGTTTCTTTTGCTAGTGTTTTCGGAGGCAGTCGTTTCTTAGTTTTTTTTTTACAGGATTGCAGTTTATGTGTTTTTGGCATCAGGCATACATTTTTGAAGCAGGATAAAGCTACATATAAATGATATTATATATTTTGCTATTCTGGACACCTGTTACTAATATGAACTCATGTACTGTTACGAGTGTGACTGCTGCAAGAAAGCTTGGGATAGCAATGTCATTGCTTGGCTACAATCCATGAAGTCATTAACAATGGAACTGAGACATGTTAGTAGCTATATACTACGTAGTAAGGACCCGCGAGCTAATGGTAACCGGTAGTTTAAGTCATCAAATGATATTGCTCAAAATCGTTTGCGATTGCACATATGCATCCGTTCTATCGTTTATGGCTTTATGTAAGTAAATCGTTGGTGAGAACTATGACTAGTGGAAGCTTTCAGAAGGGAACAATGATTCTGACTCTATTGTGGTTAGTTCTCAACTACAACGTCGAAACTGTAAACGACAGTAGAGTTTATCTCTAACCCTAAGCAGTATTTTGATATAATTGCTGATTCGCGATCAAAGCCCGTAACTCTTAATCTGAATTCTAATCCCTCACACTTTTATATGACCTATAAACCATAGTAAGTAGATAAATCTTACCAAGGTTACCATGGTGTCGCACGAAGATCGTCCGAACAATCATAGTATCATTACAGTCGTTTAGTAAGTTAAAGTGTTAATGAAAAGAAATATGATGCCCATACATTACTGTTAAGCATTTATAATCAACCGAACAACTTTAAAACGTAAGTGAAACTGTATTAGCTAGGACAATTTTAATTATATTATCAGTTTTTAATTAAAACAGTCGAATTTTCCACTTTCAATATTTTAATTCATTTTCAGGGTGCTGAATCACCAACTACCTTTCTACATGTTGAAGAATTATGTAGGTCCTGCATTTATATATATATCTTGCACTGTGGTCTGGTTGGATCGAGCGTTTAGTCAATTTTGCAGTTCTCTCTTTCAAAGGCTATTTATACTAATGCTTAATGTTGACGTTTGTTATAAATAGGCAGTTGTCTGACGTTTGTGAAGCCGACAATCGTCATTATCTGTTCGATAAGCCATGTCACTATAAGGTCCACCCAGTTGTCTTTCGGTTCCGCTCACTCAACCTACTTAAGCAATAATTTTGATGTTCTGCCTGTCACATTTTTGTCATGTATTGCATAAAGGGAACCAAATTATATAAAGTTAAGTGGGTAATTAATTAGTTTTGTAACTTAATATTCAATCCCTACTATTAAAAATCTGTTTCTCTTTTGTTATCTACGCCAATGATACTACTAATACACTATCCATTATTGTAATAAATAGTACGTGGAATTCAAACAGAAAGTTGACTGTTTCAACTATTCAGTCACTCTTCCATATTTTACATCATAATTACTTGACAATGCTCTTTTTTTATTGTGTAACATCCTGATGTTGTTTTATTTCAGATATTTTTTATGCTTAGGTATTCTCTACTTGTTCTTTGTAATTTTTATAGCTGATCCTGATACAGCTTATAAAATATTTTTCAAAAATCACACTTGTTATGATCTAATCCCAGTGAGTGCCAAGTTAATCGTGTTCGATGTTACATTAAATGTAAGTTATGATTAAATCACTATGTTATTATTGACGAAAATTCGTTGAGGTTGTATTATTTTTAAAGTGGAAATCAAAAATGGATCTAAACTAGACCATTATTGTAATTCTGGAAGCACTGAATGGCTGTTTCGTAATACAGTGTGAGACTCCTTATTTGTGTACAGCCACGAAAACCACACGCGAGAATCGGATCACAGTGACTTCATTATCGATGCCAAACACTTGACATCTAGGACACTAATTCGATATTGCACAAATTTGGCGGATAACTGTCCCGAACCCCAAACGTATTGAACTCCCCTAGTTGCCGTCGGATGCTGACTCGGTGGTGTAGAAAAGTTTAAGTATTGGTGCTTCAGGCTGAAGTAGCTAGATTTCAGTCCCACGTGGATGCACACTCGCGAAGAGTGCCATATTATAAGGACGAGACAGCCATACAGTACTCTCAGGTTTCTAATGATGGTCTAATTCAGATCAGTTCATAATTTCAACTATGAAAACACTGATGGGTATGTATTCATCCAGTCAGTCAGTCATACACCACATGAAACTTCGTACGTAGGTACATAAGTTCAGGTTGCCATACCACATTAGCACCGATATGCAATTGTCAACTCAAATTCCATAGTGGTGGAGATAGTAGCAGAATAAGCGGTAAAGCAGAATATTATGGATTGAACATATTATGCAAGAAGTATAGTTCAGTGACGAAGATTGGCAAAAGCCAGTCGAGCCTTCTGTATCCGAGCTGAGATTTCATCACACACCGGGACATCAGCATTGATGAGACTCCAAAGATCAGTGACGTGTTTGACACACTCCGCCAGTCCAGATGCCGATACATGTTATTATTGAAGTAAAATGTCACATTTAAAGGAGTGAAACCGCCTACCGAACATACTAGCATTGTTATACAGAGTAGTCAGAAGGCTCGGTATTCTGTCAGCATCTTATGAATCATTTCAATGTCAATATTCTTTAAACGTCAAAAATGTGTACTTCTTGTCTGTTGTTATTTTGGTTTTCCTTCATTCTTTTTCTTCTCATCTTATCTTATCGATTTCTATGTTGTATCAAGGTAAAGAAAGCATTTTTCGCTTTAGTTTATAATGGTGTACGTGTTGCTATTTTGTGGGATTCTACTGAACAAAAACATGTTGGCATGTTGACAATCACTGATTTTATACGTATATTACATCGTTATTATCGTTCACCAGATCAACCAATAACGGAATTAGAAAAACATCAAATTAAAACATGGCGAGGTAATTGTTTTATTTTTACAGATAGATTAAATTCATTGTTTCATAAGCAAATACTTTATTTAAGAGTGAATAATCATTTGTATTCGGCTATGATATTGGCAATGGTTTTTGGCTGGCTGTTATGGTAAAGTTGTAAACAGGCAACATTTTAAAAGCCAAAGTCCTGGGTATCAGTCTACTGATAAGATTGTCATTGCACAGCACTTAGAAGTTCTATATTAGAATAAAAACAAATGTTACATCCTTCTTGGCCATTTTGTTCAATGGCTTTCTTGTATGAATTCTGTCTGAAAATTCTCTTGTCTTTCAAATATAATGTTTTGTCGCATACATCATTTCAGATAGCTGTTCATGGTTGTTTGATTTTGTCAACAATCAAATAAGATGAAGTGAATTTGTCACAGCTTCGATGTATACCTTTGAGATAGGATAGTTATAACGTTGGTCTTCTAACTCAACTCCCTTGAACGAATGATGGTGGCGAAGGTCGGCTTTTTGATAGTAAATGCTAAATTATGACCATAATTTTATAACCACTGTCAAGAAAGTCCTATTCACTGCCTTTCTTTGGTGCTGTTTGTGAGATTGAAAAGACAAAAAGCGATTGTCCTGTCAGAACTTCGACCGGACTGATGAGTAAGGAGGACCGGTTTATGGGAGGTAGAAATCCGTTACAGCAAACAGATGCAAATAGTTTACATGGTATCAGGATCCTGAAGGAATCGATGTTGTATGAACGTAATATTGATCACCGTCTATCATGGAACTGTGTCTCGTAACATTGTTACACTAACTTATATATTAGATCTGTAGGATAATGACTAGAAAACCAACCACTTGATTCGGTTTGATTAACTGGACAGCATCCCAACCCACATACAAATTGTATGAATGTTTATCTTTTGAATTGAATCTTATTATTACTGCATCATATGAGAATCGCAAATAGTTTCAAATATACAATCTATCATCTCATCAAACTTTATAAGTTTAATACTAAACTCATATGCACAAACTAATGCATGAACAGTTTAATGCGAAGAGAATGAATTTGATTTACGCATTAAGAAAGCCTTCGGAAAATTTAAAACTCAGACAAGTTATGAGTGTGTTTGTTTATTTCAACAGAATCTCAGCTGTCATTTAGACTGTGTCCACACTCTTGGTTATGTATGCCCAACCATCAACTACATGACAGTTGTTGTGTGGTACAAGAGCAGGCTGAGAAAAAGCTAGACATGGCTAAATCAAAACTTAGAGCAAAACCATTAAGTAAGTGACTGCTGGACTAGTAGATATAGATTACCTGGTTACAGAGACTGTTGCCGCTACCTTAAGTGGTGGTCGGGCTTGCCTATCGTGATGATCCAACTGAAATATTTTGACTGCAACATCTGTTCGGGAAGGTTCTATCATGCCAGGTACGTCGATTGGAGAATGATGAGACTTCTCCATTACTGCTTTCACTCTTGAATTTGAACTGACAGTTGCGCCTCGGTGTTGATGTGGTATGGTAATCTGAACTAATGTACTTACGTATGAGGTTCTGCGTTGTATCTGTCTGTCCGTCTGATGAGACTGAAAACAGCTACTCAAGGTCTGAGGTCGAAATCCTCCTGCTGACTACAGAGATGTGTGGCAGGAGTAAGGTGTTTCCCTCGGACAATCACCATCTGCAGCGATGCTGCCTTCTCACAAGGAAGGAAGGGGTTAAAAAAGGTCGACCTTAAAAATGTCACACTTCACCCTACCTCACGGATTTCCGTCTCCGGCGGTAAGGGTGCCCAATAAGGGCTTTCAAGGGCGGAGCTAATACTCAAAAAACCCTTCATAAAAAGGCCGCGCGTGACCGGCCTCAAGCAGTTGTCCCTAGGAAAACTCGAATTACCTTAGGCTTAAAGATTTCTAAGGTAGATTCTAGGTTATGACAAATTGTTTCTGCACACGTAAGGGGGATTTTAATTTTTTGATAGCTGAGGCTTCCATAAACCTCAAATTTCGTCCTCCAACATTTCTATACAATGTTTTGAAGGCTGTCTTGATGTCAATTTTACACCCTGTCTCAATTATGTGTTTTGCGATTGATGAACATGGTTTTCAATTTCCAACGCTAATCGGATTTTGAAGCCCTTAGGTACATGTTCCATAACCCTTGATGCAACCAAGAACTTCGTACGTAAGTACATCAGTTCTTGTCGCCGTACCATATTAGCACAGAGATGTAATTGTCAATTCAAATATAGTAGTAGAGTAAGTAAAGGTATTAGACGTAATCGGACAGGTTAGAATTAGAAGATATTATTCAAGTACGATTAGGCGAGGTAAGTTTAGAAAGAAAAAACTAGAGGTGTTAAAGAATCCAGAAGATTGGGATTTGAGAGAACACAAAGAATAAATGCACCGGCGCCATTGCAAACGGTTTTCAACCATGTCATTCAGGTCTCTAACCATCGATTATTATCATCTCGCGGACTCCAACCAGGTAGTCGACAATTACCGACATGGCTCAGTCCACTTGTCAATGACTTCATAGATTTCTGCCATGTTTTGGTCTGGCCGCCCCTAACTAATTCCATTCACCCTTCGAGTCAACAGTATGTCTAAAAAGGCCAATCGGTTATTATTTTCTGGTTCATGAGTTAGTACAATGTCATTCTGAAGACTATTGAAGTTGACCAGATTGTTCGAAATGCAAAGGTCGCAAATACATCACAACATTTTTTTCAGATCAATTACGTCTTCTCACTCTGTTCTATCGAAATTTATAAAACGGACTAATTGTTTTCAATTATCATCATTTATCATCTGAATTATTAAACTTTGCTTCCAGTTTTCGATACCATTTTGTACATAGACAGGCAGACAGATACAAGGCAGAACTTCGTACGTAGGTAGATCAGTTCAGGTTACCATATCACATCAGCACAGAGACGCAAGTGTCAGTTCAAATCCCATAGTGGTAGCGATAGTAGAAGTATTAGCAGTATTGAAGAAGATTAGGGAGCGAACATATGATTCTAGAAGTATAATTCAGTGAAATAAACTTAGAAGGAGAAAGATAGAGATAATGAGCAATTCAGAAGGTTAGAGTTTGAGAGAGAACACAAAGAGTAGATACACCTGCACCATTGCAAATGATTCTGAGCCAGGTCATTCAAGGTCTCAGACCATTGGTGACTACCGTCTCGCGGGCCCCAACTAGGTAATCTACATCTACCAACATGGCTCAGTTCACTTGTCAGTGACTTCGTGGATTCCTGCCATGTTTTTGTTTGGCCACCCCTAGCTTTCGTCCAACCTACTCCTACATCACAAAACATAGTCCTATCCTTTCTACACCTCCTAATTTTTTACATGCCCCATCTTCGCTCATTTTCTGAACACAATTTCTATTTTTTTTTTGGCCTCGTTCTCGTCAATCTTGTTTACGTATTGTGTATATGTCTTTGTGTATCTCTCTGTGTGTGTGTGTGTGTTTGTATTTGTTCACAGAACAATTAGCAGAATATCAACGTCGTTCATTGATTTTTATTACACCGGAAAATACCTTATTCGATGCTGTATGTATGCTACTCAAGTATAAAGTACATCGTCTACCTGTTATTGATTCAATTAGTGGCAATCCATTGCATATATTGACACATAAACGTATACTGAAATATTTACATATTCATGTAAGTACATTATTGTTAATGCTCATTCGATCTATTCTAATTGTTATATTACATTAACACTGCGGTTACATTTTGATTTGTTAAAAAAATAAAACTGATTTATTTCTCAAGGAAATGAAATGAAATATATATATATATATATATATATATATATATATATATATATATATATATATATATACATATTACAGGTCTGAGTCTTGCTTCATATATATTTCGATTTTAGTAGGCAGGTCATAGTAATATACGCTGTCACATGTAAAACTTCAACTGTGTAGTTTGTCAGTTGCCACATCGAGCATGGTGCATACCTACGTCAGTTCAATTTGTTCTACTGTAGTGAACGAGAACACAGGTGGGGCAACCGAGTTGTATTTATCTCAAATTACAGAGTTACTCAGTAAAATCGGAAAAACCATATCGTAAATCGTTCATTTGCAAAATATCAGTTCATCATATCGAACTGGACTGTTCCTGTTGCAAAACATCAATCCATTGTCTCTGTTCATGCGTTTCATACAAATTCCATTGTGTTCCCACTCTTCATTTCTTGATCTTACCCCCATCTTCGGCTGCCAGACATTACGCTTACACTCGCGTCATATACTACTTATAAGTTGCTCACACCACACTACCACTATCTTTTTGTAGCACTCAATTCCTCGCCTTAGATTTATTTACTTCGTGATTGATGATTACACATAAAGCAATTTTCTGGTGACATCTATGAACAAGCGGTAGTTGTAATGTACAAATATCCTTCTATACATTCATTCCTGTAAAGTAGCCTCCATCTCAACGCACTTCTGGCTGTTTTAACAAAAACAATTTGATTGCTTATACAATCATAGTACTCTATATCTATTGTGAGTAGTACATATTTATTAATTAAAATTACTGTCAACATAGTCTATGCCATCTAATACTTGTATTTATTATTTATGATATTTATGTAAAAGCTGTAGGATAGATTGAAAAAAATTTTTGTATTATTAATAACACCCTATATTCACAATTTTTATCATACGTACAGCAATCGGTGTTGAACAATGCAGAACACAGTCCGAATAAAAGTTTGATAGTGACTAACTGTAGAATTCAAAATGCTTGTTTTGTTCTCTTTAGAACTGATCCAGTGCATACACCTGTATCTCAACACCTAAATGGTTAGTTCTAAGTAATACATTTGGATTTGTCTAGTAGTCATTATCTAAATTGTATAAAAGTTTAGAATCCGATGACAATGTCATGAGGATTCTGTAAAAATATCCATCTGTTACAGTTAACATCCGTTAAATTCAAAAGCGAAAAAAAAATATCAAACTGAGTAAATTAAAGTTGAACAATTTTTCACAAACTACGCAACTAAAGTAGTGCGTGTTTCTAAGTTTTATTTGATTGTAGAATCCTATCACCAAATCATTGTCATGTGAGATTAGTAAATTTCCTTACCGTAAGAAAAACAGTAAACTTACTGTAAAATTTAATAAAGGAATTTCTGAAAGAACCTTCTTTGGGATCGATAAGAATTTTCACAGTGAATGCCGACTTTTTCCACTTTTTTTACAGCCAACATATATTCCACTAAATCAAACGCTTTTTGAATGACCCTAACCTACTTCAAATCATATGACTAATTCGATTGTAAGATAATTAGAATGTGTTACGCCGTCTTCACTGTTGCCCGCCTTGAATAAATTCAATGGTGGCAACTCCTGAACCGATTCTTATGTAGGGTAAATTATATTCAAAGCTTTCAGGTACAACTTTGTAACTTTTGTCAGTCAGGAACAATGTAGACTTTTATATGTACGTTCAGCTGTTCTAGTTGCCGTACCACGATATTATAGAGATGCGATTGTCGATTCAAATCTCAGATTGGTAGAGGTAGTAGGAGTATAAACAATATTCGGAAAGATTAGGGTTTGAAAATATTATTCATGTTGTATAATCCAATGAAGTAAATTTGAGAATAGAAAGCTCCTAGGTTCACCTTAATATATATATATATATATATATATATATATATATATATATCAACTGTTTGAATGTATGGCGTCTCAGGTGTCTGAACGTAACAAGTGCCAGCCACACAAACTGGCTACTTGAGTGAAAATGCCAAAGTGAAACAATAAGTTGTCTGTTTCTGCTGCCGAATCTAATTCTTGACCAATGATATGCATTCATCCTCTAGAACATGTCTGATGGGGTTATTTAATGGCTTTTTCATTAGAAAACTTTTAATTGTCTCACTTTATCACCAACTAAGAAAGAAATTCCATTCAAACAGTTGGTAGCCATCAACTAAGTAACATTTCCACGCACGACTGTAAGTCTAGGTTTTAAAGTCTGTGTCCGCTTAACACTTCAAATTTTATCCGTCTACACTTAAAAGCCTTTGTATAACCAACAAGTTAAATAAAAGTCGATGAGATACAAAGTATACGTGATCATAGTAACTGTATGAATGGAATATGATCTGAGTTACTTTGTACGATGTGACATATTAAGGCTCGTATCCCTCTCTAATAGAAAAGTTAAGCTTAATCTTGCGTTTTACTTCAAACTCATACACAAATTACCACACTCTAAGAACCCAATGATAAAATACACCAGTATGATCAATTAAAAACTATTAAATTACATATGGTTTGTCAAAATACAACATTGTAGGATAAATGTTCGTAGCAACGTTGTACATTTCAATCATGCTATCTTTGGTTCTGCTATCACAATTCTCTAGCGCAATGCGTAAATCCAACTGAGTGATTGAATCTCCAACAGCTTCTTTTGTAACAATGTGATCTTAGTCGTGAATTGACTTGCCCATTCTAACGGATTTGGTTATTGAGTTTAAGATATTGTTTGTATCATTTTTAAAATCATGAAATCGATCAATGTTAGACCATCATTAGACACCTGAAAGCATTGGATGGCCGTTTTGTCTTGGTACGGGACTCATTAGCAGTACGTATCCATGACTCCTACACCTCTCACGATACAAACCCAGGACCTTTGGTCTTGCGCGCGAATGCCTAACCTCTGGACCACTGAGCTAGTATCTAAAGGTGTTAATGTATAACTTTAATCAAATCATTGAGTTGCGCAACCTCATACACAGTCTACACCCGAACAGGTTGAACAAAACGGCCTTTATCCAATACTTCCAAGTTTCTAATAGTGGTCGTCTGACATTGATCGATTCATAATTTCAAATGTATAACTTAACACAATCTTCAAACCCCCCCCCCATAATACATATCATTTTATTTATTGGTTATACAGCTTGCTGAACTTCCTTATCCTTCATTTATGTCAAAAAAATTATCTGATGTTAATATTGGTTCAATGAAAAATGTCTGTAAAGTGAATCATGATTGTCCTGTTCATAAAGCATTACAATATTTCATTGAACGTAATGTTTCAGCATTGCCTGTTATCGATCAAGATGGTCAATTAATTGATATATATGCAAAATTTGATGTTATTGTAAGTTAGTTGAATGGGTTTTTTTTTGTGTGTGTAACTTTTGTGTGACACCTAATTTTCATTCATTTCTCTTTCTAATCAATATTATGAGTTGATCTATATGAGACAGTCGTAGTATTTGTTGATACTACTTGCAGTTTGGATTTTAAGTAGTAGTAGTGTATTGAACGAGAGAATACAGGTGGGGCAACCGAATTGTATTTAACGAAAATTACAGAGTTACTCAGTAAAATAGGGAAAACCATATCGTAAATCGTTCATTTGCAAACGATCAGTTCATCCTATGGAACTGGACTGTTCCTGTTGCCAAACATCAATCCATTGTCACTATTCATGCGTTTCATACAAATTCCATTGTGTTCTTCTAACTCTTCCTTTCTTGATCTTTCCCCATCTTCGGCTGCCGGACATTACGTTGACACTCACGTCATATACTACTTATAAGTAGCTCACACTACAGTAGTAGTATGCAGCATAGTGTCCGCTAAAAGTAACTGCTGAAGAGTAGCGTGTGCACAAACATAGTGTTTTGAAGACTAGATGACCTGTGGTTTGGCGTCCATCAGGGCTGTTCACTCTCTCAATTCTTGTTTAATTTTGTCATAGACTTGATTCTAGATTTAACAATATCTTGGTCTGAATTTTCAAGGGTAAACCTTCTACCAGAAGATTCATTGGTTGACTTAGAGTATGCCGATGACATAGTTGTGTTTGATGAGGCGTTGACAAAATGCAGTCTTCTAAGTACCCTAGGCAACAATGCCGGCATGTTCGGGATGCGATTCTCTCCGTCGAAATGCTGAATGTTGCTTCAGTATTGTTATAACGCTTACTTAGATAATTCCCGGCTAAATCTTATTGCTTTGTATTCTTGACACAAAACACTGAACAAGTCCCCCAAGTCAAAACACGGTTGAACAGGAAAGATTATATTCCAAAATAGCAAGGAATAAGAAGCCGGAGGTGATGGCGAAAGCCAAGGCAAAGAAGGCAAAAACAACTACAACGCTAGTCAATATATAGCCTTTACATGAGAAAGCTTCTGGAAGAAAAT